TTCCCTGGTTTGAGTTGTGAGCCACCCTGAGTCCCCCTTCGGGGGAAAAGGGCAGCATACAAATGAAATAAACATTCAAACATTCAAACATTCAAACATTCAAACATGAAGGAACGTTTTATCATGCTTGATGAATGTGTAAAAAGGCTTTAAAAAATTAGATCCAATACCTACTTTGATATGGATTATTTTAAAGATCAACATTCAACTGAAGCCAGAACTTTTTCTTTTAAGATTAATGGATAAATCATTAGAAAGAACCCATGAAAAAGTATTTCAGTATACGATCATAGCAGTGAGATTACTGTATGCACAGATGAAAAGAGTTGACACTGCTCATTATGGAGTGATAGTTGAAGTCAACTGATTTTACTAAAATGGATACATTAACTTCTTTGATTAGAGTAAAAACCAGAGGTGGTATTCAGCAGGTTCTGACCAGTTCTGGAGAACTGGTAGCGGAAATTTTGAGTAGTTCGGAAAAAATACCACCTCTGGCTGGCCCCGCCCCATCTATTCTCTGCCTCCTGGGTCCCAGCTGACTGGAAAGGAATGAGGATTTTGCAATATCCTTCCCCTGCCATGCCCACCAAGCAATGCCCACAGAACCAGTATTAAAAAATGCTGAATCCCACCCCTGGTAAAACATGTTTATATTTATTGCTGTCTGCACATTTCTTATGGACTTTTTGCATAAAAATAAAAAAAATGAACTTGTGACTCATGGTTTTGATGATTAAACAGGTTAGATTATAGAAAAAAGCATAATATGATGTAAGTTTAGAAAGAAAATATATTTGCGCTTATAAGTGCTATGAAGAATATGAGAAGCTACTTCTATATACTTTTTTCTTTAATTTTTTTTCTCACTTGCATGTTTGCTTTTTCTTTATTCATTTTATGAAAATGCATAAGATAGTAGTTGGACAATGAGCACTTATTACATAGGATGCTTCCATTTTTGATTAAGGACCAAGAACTATCACCCAGGTTGCATTGAAACACCTGGAGATTTTAAGGGGTAAAAATAGATGTTTTAATCCTTGTAGGAGTTGAATGTACCTGTTTTGCCCTTTATTACAGAAGAACATTCTGCAAGTATTCTAGTGGCCACCAAAAATTTAAAAAGTAGAATTGGGAGTTATGTGCTTCCACAGTTGCTTATTCTTGCTTAGGGCAGTCCTTTCATGGTAGATTCATTACTCCACTGTGTATGATATAATTCTAGCAAACTCCTGTTGCTAAATAAGAATGATATTATATGTTCCCTCTTTTTTTTTGCAGGAGACTATAGATTCTTTAGAAGGTCATCACAAGGAGTAATAGATCCAAAAGTATTCGTAGATGATTCATATGTATCATCAGAAAGGTGATAGTAATCTGAATTCAGGAAAAAAAAATCTAAATCAAGCTCATCTATGGATATCAACTTTCCTTCCCCCCCCCCTCCCGTCCCCTTCCCTCAGGTGGGATCTTTACTTTACCAAGCATAATCTTCCTGCTTGGCATTAAACACTTACTTGGCAAGCTTCAAGATATACACACAAATTATATCTAAGTTAATTTTTCTTTTAATAACAGTGGTCTAAGTGAAAGCGTCTCTTTATCTTCAGAAGACACTATTAACTTGGATGATATCCAGAATTGTGACAAAGTAAGACATTTATCTTTAAAATATAAATATCTCAGAGTTAAACTGTGGCGTTCTTGGTGCTGAATTTGATTGTTTGCTTGCATTCATTAAATTACCCAAGAGTTGCCCTATTCCACCAGCTGGGTGACCTTGGGCCAGTCACTGTCTCTCAGCTCAATTCACCTCCCAGGCTTATTGATGTGGGGAAAATAGGAGGAGGAAGTTGTGTTGGATATATTTACCACCTTGAGTTGTTTGTAAAAATAATATAAAACTGTTTTTGAAAAAGAAGTGTGCCTCTAGATATCATTTAATACCCACAACCTTTCAGATATCACCTACATCAGTGTTTCTCAACCGAATGCTGGCTGGGGAATTCTGGGAGTTGAAGTCCAGACATCTTTCAAGTTGCCAAGGTTGAGAAACACTGACCTACATAATCGTAACTACTGTACATATTTTGAGTGCTATAGGAATCAAAGCAGCAGAAAACATTACCTAATAAATAAATCAAAGAATTATTGATTGATTGATTCATTCATTCATTCATTCTATAATTAACAAGGTATTTAGAAAGAAAGAAATATTTTGTTTTATATACGTTATCCAGTAGGTTTTTAGTGGATTCAATCCAGTAATGTGAGGAAGGAGTGACAGAACCTGGGTGCAGAGTTAAAAGAGAGATCAGTCTAGAATCTCTAAAGAATCACAAGCATGTCAAGTCCAACCTCTCTTGAATTCCATTGAGCACAATCTAACAGCTAGCAGGAAGATTCTCAAATATTTGAGTCTTCCTGTGCATAAGCATGAATAATAATACATCAGTTTAATTGAATCTTCACATGTAGACCTGATCTTTTGCACCTGATAAGTAATCCTTGAACTTATTTGTGTTCTCTATAGCAAACAGTGGTGTCTATAAATATGAGGGACATTATGCAGCACTTCAGTGCATATCATATTTCCCCATCATATTTAAGCATGTTTACAGAAAATTGGTGGCATAGCAAACCATGCAGTCTGCATAATATATAAATTGACAAATGAAATTAATGGGTTTTCTCTTGCTGATTTATACATTTAATAATGAGGAAAACATAGTCCTTTATTGCCAGTTGATCCTCAAATGCCCTCTTTTCCCATATTTCCGTTTTAATACAATAATAATACAATAGCAGGGTTGGAAGGGACCTTGGAGGTCTTCTAGTCCAACCCCCTGCCTAGGCAGGAAACCCTATACTGTTCCAGACAAATGGCTATCCAACATCTTCTTAAAAATTTCCAGTGTTGGGGCATTCACAACTTTTTTCAAAAAAATGTTTGCAAACAGATGTGCCATTCCAGAAATTATGCTTTATTGTCTCTCCTTCATTAGGAACCAGAGATATACTTTAAAGACACAGAAGAGTTGCTTCAGATGTTCAGATATCTTGAAGAGCAAAATCTTTCATTATTCCAAAACATTCAAGATATTAGTGGCACATTAGAGGAAACTCAGCAAAGAGAGAAAATAGTTAAGCAGCATATGTAAGTTATTAATTTAATAGGGTTGTTTTATATATTTTTTCAAATTGTGAACATACATACATACTGATAGCAATTTGTGCTCCAAACAAGCCTATTGAGATTTTTTTTTATTTTAAGCCAGGAAAAGAAGCTGAATTCAATATGGTGCTCTCTTTCAGGCACAGCTGATTAGCTTAATTTTAAGCAGGGTGTGGTGTGGAATGGTTTCAGCTCCTGAACAGTTAACACAGGGAAATGGATTTAATGTTAGAATCGAGAAGCTAATAGATATGAGGTACCTAAAAAATGTAATGTGTTTGGCTTTAAAATGAACCCTTAGAACAGTGTTTCTCAACCTTGTCAACTTGAAGATGTCTGGACTTCAACTCCCAGAATTCCCCAGCCAGCGAATGCTGGCTGGGGAATTCTGGGAGTTGAAGTCCAGACATCTTCAAGTTGACAAGGTTGAGAAACACTGCCTTAGAACACTGAATAATCTTAATCATTCAAGACTTTAGTTAGAGAATTTCAGGGAGAGAACACACTGCCTTCCCCATCACCTTTTTTTAAAATGTTTGTATTACATGGAATGAGGGTCATGGGGTTCAGTGGCTAAAATGCTGAGCTTGTCGATCAGAAAGGACGGGGTTTGGCAGTTCGAATCCCTAGCGCCGCATAATGGAGCAAGCTCCCATTACTTGTCCCAGCTTCTGCTAACTAAGCAGTTTGAAAGCATGTAAAAATGCAAGTAGAAAAATAGGAACCACTTTTGGTGGGAAGGTAACAGTGTTCCGTGTGCCTTCGGCATTTAGTCATGCTGGCCACATGACCATGGCGACGTCTTCATACAGTGCTGGCTCTTCGGCTTTGAAATGGAGATGAGCACCATCTGTTGGGAATGGACGTTGGGAACGACTAGCACCTATGTACAAGGAGAACCTTTTATCTTTATTACATGGAAGCTGTCCTCCACAAAGTCTTTCCAATTCAATAAAAATAACATGCCCAGTGAAGATAAGATTATTGCATCTGGAAATAATATAATTAAGAAATGTAGAGGATGTAATTAAGAAATTATATTCTTACATGAATAAACCATATTTTCAAAGGAGCCAGTCCTTGAGAAACTGCATATGGTGCTTTAAATCTTGTTATTATGGCACACCAATACAGAACTAACTCAAAACATGTTGCTGCATAAGGTAAATCACAATTCCGTCCACTGAAGTTGGTTGGACTAGCAATTCAATCTTAACCTAGTGTTGGTAATCAGACAATACTTTCTACCTTTCCAGGAAGACTATGCAGGGTAGGCTTTATGGTACATGAGAAAAACATTATGATGGGGTTCAGGAGGGGAAGCTACAGAGCTGCCACACATGCTCCTTTAACATCTGTCTCCTATAGAGGCTGCCTTCCGCTATCCAATGCAGGATAACTACCCACTCCCCTTCAATATAATTGATGAGCATTCCATTATATCAGCGTTTCTCAACCTTGGCGACTTTAAGTCCCGTGGACTTCAACTTCCAGAATTCTGGGAGTTGAAGTCCACAGGACTTAAAGTCGCCAAGGTTGAGAAACACTGCATTATATGCTATTCTATACAATGTATTATTTTACATGTTTTCACCATTTTTTTCTAAATGATGTTTTAATTAAAGAAAAAGATATCCTTTCTAATTAAGGGGTTTTAGCTCTTAGTAGCAAGTATTTTGGATAATTATTTTATAGCATTAGTCAGTTTATAATGACACTGCTACAAATTCAAGACCGTCTCTGCCACAAATCACTCTGTGGTAATTTCCAGTAATCTTATTAAATCAATGTGGTCTTAGCAAAAATGTGTTATTTCCTCTGCTGAAAAATGTTAGAATAGAAAAACTTCAGCAGCTTAAAAGAGACAAAACTAATTTAAGATTCCAGCTATGAAGTTTTATACTCTCTTTTAATAGGGAACAAAAGGTAAAGCGCCTTAGGGACAAAAAAGAAGCTCTAATAGCTGCTTGCCTCAAAGAAGATGGGAAAAGTGCTGAACTGGCATTAAAAGCTAAAATGTTTTCTTCAGGAGAATATAATCCAGCATCCATGGTAAGTCTGAATGCAACAACCATCTTCATCATAGCACAGATTGTTCAATCCTAAAAGGATAATTCAGTTTGTATTGAGTTTGTATCTCTTATCTGTATGTAATACTCTGGGAGCTTCTGGTACAGCACCAAGTCACCTTTACCTAAGCCCAGAAGCTAAGCAGGGTCAGGCCTGATTTGTTATTGAATGGAAGAAATATCAAGGTTTTAGGTTAGACTGGAAAATAAAATAAAAAACATCCCAGAAGGGAGCAATGGTAAAGAGCTTCCATTCTGATACCAGGGATGCATGCGGGAAGTTACCGCCAGAAGGTGAGTTTGAACCACAACTTTACAACCAACTTTTGAATACCATGTCCACTGTCAAAGGAGGTATTCAGCTAGTCCAGAATGCAGCCGCGCGAGCGATTGTGGGTACACCTCGCTTCACCCACGTAACACCTATCCTCCGCGAGCTGCGCTGGCTACCTGTTGATCTCCGGATACGCTTCAAGGTGCTACTTGCCACCTATAAAGCCCTTCATGGTAGTGGATCTGGGTACTTGAGAGACCGCCTACTGCCGATCACCTCCACATGACCCATTAGATCTCATCGTTTAGGCCTCCTCCAAGTTCCATCCGCTGGCCAATGCCGACTGGCCACCACACGGAGGAGAGCCTTCTCGGTGGTAGCCCCGACCCAATGGAACGATCTCCCTGTGGAGCTTCGTACCCTCACCACCCTCCAGACCTTCCGCACAGCCCTTAGTATCTGGCTATCCCGTCAGGCCTGGGGCTAAATATTGTAACCCGCCCGAATGGTATGAATGTTGTGTTTTAATCATGTACTGTCTTATATGTAAAAGTCTGTTCCCCCCCCCCTTCCTTTTGATTGTGAGCCGCCCTGAGTCCCCCCAGGGAAAAGGGCGGCATACAAATAAACAATCTAATCTAATCTAATCTATGGGCTGACTCAGGTTCATCATTGATAGACAAAGGAAACCAGTCCTGTCAATATGCCAGTGGGCAACATTTAGTTTAAGAAGTAGAGTGCCAGATAAATACTGAGTAACATTGCAGAGCGTCCAAAATGACCATCAGCAATTTATTATTGATATGGAATATGAAGTAATGGCTTTGATTAGCACTATAATATCTAATAGTGGTAATTAAATGCTTGGTTTATTGATTTATTATATCCCATCGAATCTGGATCGATTCTTAATGACCACCCAGATTTTCTCCATGACAATCTGTTCCAAATCTGGCCTTTCAGGTCTTCTTCATTGCCACTGTATTCATTGCCACTGTAACTGAATCCATCTGCCTTGCTGTTGGTCATCCACTTCTCCTTCCTTACACTTTTTCTACCATTAGCACCTTTTCTAACAATGAAGTAATTAAGTAAGGGAACTATAGAACCAGAAGGCATTTAGTCTTCCTATTAGAAGACCTATTAGATCGCACAGATTAGGCCTCCTCCGAGTTCCATCCGCCAGTCAGTGCCGACTGGCGACTACGCGGAGGAGAGCCTTCTCAGTAGCAGCTCCCTGTGGAGATTCGCACCCTCGCCACCGTCCAGACCTTCCGCACAGCCCTTAAGATCTGGCTATCCCGTCAGGCCTGGGGATAAAGATTCTAATCCGCCCCACCCGAATGTTGAATGAAAGTTGTGTTTTATCGTTTTATTTTTTACTCACATATTGTCTTATGTTTTGTCTTGCACTCCCCCTCCCATGAATTGTAAGCCGCCCTGAGTCCCCTCAGGGAAAAGGGCGGCCTATAAGTAATAAATAAAATCTTTAAAAAAATCTAAATAAAAATCTAGTCTACAATTGACCTAGATGGTCCCCAAGGTCCTTTCCACCTCTTATATTCTATGATTCCATATCTGAATACATACAGATGCTGCATAGTGTAAAAATCTACCTTGAGCGTGTTCTAGCTTGAACATATGCAGCAAAGGGGAGGCTATTACTTTTTTGCCTAATTTGTTACTCTCTCAAACTCCTCTTACGGTTAGTTTCCCGCTACATACAACTGGCATTAGCTTCCTGTTCCATATGTCTATTCCATGTCCTACATTCTGGTGAGACAGAATAGGTCTTTAATCTTTTTCCAAGTGGCACCTTTCAGATTCCTAAAAAGTAATGTATATCCCTCTACATTTGTGGACTGCTGCTGAATAAACGTTTTATTTTTATTTTCATTTTAAGGCCTTCAAGTCATTCTTGGCCCTGATGACTGAATAAATAAGTCCCTGCAGTTTTCTTTGCAATATTTTCAGAAGTGCAAGTTGCCCTTCATTTTTCCTAGGGCTGAGAGAGAATGAGGAAGGCCCAAAGTCCTCCCGATGGCTTTCTGGAGCAGGTAGCTTACAGCCTCCCAGTTTCTAGCTTTTAAAAAGCTAGAACCCAGCTAGCTCTCAACCTGTGATTGAGAAACTGTATTTGTATTAATATAAAACTGCATTAGACTATTTAGCAGCCGCATTGTAATTGTAACCAATACTGAGGTTGTAATCAATTACTATTTCAAAAGCAATTGTTTTTAATTATTTCCAATATTATTTTAATAAAACCAGAGGTGGGTTGCTACCGGATCGGCCTGGATCGGCTGAACCAGTAGTAGTGGCGGAGGGAGGCTCCGCCCTCCCACCCAGACGTTACTGTGCATGCACAGAAGAATCGCACAAGCGCAGAACCGGTAGTAAAAAAATAAGCAACCCACCTCTGAATATAACCCTTCAGTGTAGCTAGTCTACCAATTTTCTTTTTTCTTTTGAGCATATATAATGAAGTCCTTTTTTATTCTTTCCGGAATCCTTTGTTCAACTTGGTGTGTTGAGCAGCAGCTATAAAATGAGCTGATAAATAATAAATATTCTTTATTGACTTTTTGACAGTCATCTCTTTGGTTCTTTGCTCCCTATGTCCTCTTCCTTGGTGGTGTGTATGCATTTCCATTTCTTATATGTGGAATTATTCTCTTCAAATCCTTACTAAACATTCTGTTGAGGAACAGTGGCTTCTTCTGTTGTTTTGCATGGGCTTTTTCCTTTTTGCTGGACCCTTCTTGAACTGTTTTAGCAATCGGCACAGAATCCTACTTACTGCTTCCCTTAATAAGTTTTTCCAGCTTTACCAGATCTCAGAGTGGATGATCTCAATACCCACTTCACAGTTCCAACTGGTCAGAACAATATTGAAACGGTTTCAGTGAATTCAGGATGGGCCACCAAAGTCCTGGATGTTGTAACCTTGAACTGAACATCTCTCCTTCCAATGTGCATTGGGTTCTTACATTTGTGTTTGCATCCACATTGGTTTTATGCCTTTTTGACCACCAAACTGCATTTATTTTTTTAACATTTATCCATTTGAATTTGCAGTGTATGTTGCCAGCTTTGTATTATTAGGTCTTGTTCACTGAGTCAATACCTTTTTGCTTATACATTATTTTCTTCCTTTTAGCAATATTCAGAATTATATAATTCTTACTCTAAATTTGGGAAATGCTTACCTCTTGTATTTAGCTTTAATATTTCACTATAAGCTTTGATTCATGTTTTCTAATATAACCTGAGAATTTGCTTCATTGTGTTTATGTATTTATTTATTAAAATATACTCTCTATTCCATTCCCAAGGTTAAGAGTAGTTAATGATATTAATTTTCTTCTTTATAACATAAGAATAACATACTGGATGCACTTACTAAAAAAGTAGCAGAAGTATACAGAGTTTGCTGTGAGACACAGGAAGTATCCAGCATGACCTCATTTCAAATGCTAAAAAAAATAGAAATGCGAGTTTCAGAACTCTGTGAAATGTTCGAAATACTTCCAAAAGAGTATCTTGAGATCATTGAAGTCACTGAAAAGCTCAGAGCAAAAGAAAGACGACAAAGGTAAAAATTTGCCAAAATATAATCTCATCAATTAACATAATTTTAACTCTGAATTCCAACACCATTTTAACCAATATCAAGATTGGTGATGTGTCCAGCTTTTGACCTAAAAAGTAGGCAGCTTCAGAAAGAATGCAGTTTTTGTTTGCTGATGCTTTCAGGATCCCTAAGGCCCCCTTTATAGTATAACAAAAGTTGTATGAGCAAAGTTGGAGTGAACAGCTACAGAATGATGGATATGTTTGAAGAGATCAGTCAGACTACAGAGAATAGCAGTCAGCAATGCTGAAGCTATACAAGTGACAAGGAATATGGACAGATAGACAGATTATTCCCAAGAACACAGTTGGTGACATAATGGAAGATTGTATTTGTTGCATTATAAATGTTAATCTAAATATGGAGACTGTTCAGCCCATAGCATTGCAACTGTGAGGGGAAATTATGTGAATTAATAAAAGAAGGGAGAACAGGGCAGGCATTAGAAAGTTCTCTCTCACCAATATAATGCATAACATTTCCCACGTAGTTGGACAATATTTTTTTGGGAGGGGGAGTTGTTATAAAATATTATTTTTGTCCATTAGGACACTCAGCTTTGTCTTCTAAAATGAACAAATATATCATTTTCTTAGAGGCAAAACAAATGTATAATTGATGTAATTATACAGTATAAGAATGGGGTGCTAAGTCCTTTTCATTAGAAGGAAACCTTGGGGCACCAATGGAAGCTGTATCCAGAAGGAATGAAGAAAAGGCATTGAGATTTCCTTTTGACTGGAGCAAGGCAGAGCTCGAAGTGCAATCCCTCACATAGACAGGGGGTGTCCCTCGCAGTTTCCAATAAGTCGCTATGACCCTTTCTCATTCTCTGATCTAACATGTTTTTCCCCCTCACTGAAATAATGTTGAGTTCAGGTTTAAAAATAATAAAATAAAATCAGGGAACATTTTAAAAAAGGAAGCTTTCTTTAGACAATACACTTTACATTTTCAAAGTCTTCCCTTTTTCCGTTCTTGAAGGATACGTGAAGACAAACTGAAAGAACTCAGAAGAATTCAGGAAGAACGGCTGAAGCTTGCTCTTGAGAGAGCAATTGCAGAACCAAAGAAAAGGGTTGGTAGTCATGCTTTAGAGATGTGGTCTTGGATTGTGCCAGATGATAGCTGAATAGATGCTTGCCTAGCAACTTCGTCAAAGCCTAAACTGTTATTTGTAGTTAAAACTTTTACTAGCATCTTATGCTGTATCTAAGTAATTATGCCTATTCTTGGTTTGTGAATTATGTGTTCTACCTATTTAAGGTCATCCCACAATATAGTTTAGTATTAGTATAGTATAGTTTATAGTTGAGATTGGAGGAATCCAACAGAATAGTTTGTCTTCATTATATGGTATAGTGCAATTTAGTAACATACCAACTGATGCAGCAGCAATGTATTCATCTACACTAAAAATGAGTATTATGTGGATATACTTTATCTCTTCCTGAAAGTGCCTTTGCAACTGTATTTGCACAAGTTAATTTTCATGCCTTTGTAACTACTGTTTCCCCGAAAAAAAGACAGGGTCTTATTTTCTTTTGACCCCCGAAATAAGTGCTTGGTCTTATTTTCAGGGAGGTCTTATTATTTTTGAGGTGCAGGAGGCGGTGACCATGATCACCTCTGGGCTGCTGCTGTGTTGCAATATTTTTGGGGAGGGCTTATTTTAGCTGCATATGCTCAAAAGCTCAATTGGGCTTATTATCCGGGGAGGTCTTATTTTGGGGGAAACTGGGTAGTTCAGAAATTGGCACATAACTCAGCTGCCAGATTAGCGTCTTGTAGAATTCAAAAATTCCATTATTCATCTCTGGAAAACACTGCACTGAGGATCTATCTATTCCAGGAAAACTACAAGGGCTAATCATTATTTTAAAAACCCTCTAGAGGTTACTGAGATCAAGCCACTTTGGAAAATACTTCTTTTTGCATTTCTTCCTTTCCCAACACAGAATGAATTATCACAGCTGCTAATCTTTGGGTGGTATTCTGAATTCAACAACAGATTTAATGACTGTCTACTTTTTATAAATTCATTATAGTCACATTTAAATCAGAGCCTAAATTATTTTTATATTATTGGTTTTAATTCTGATTTCAATTTCGAAGGATTAAGATATTACAAAATAAATATTAATATAGACCACAACTGTCTAAAAGAACTTTTTAATACAGTTTCTTCATCATAAAGTCCGTAACAAAAATGTGCAGACACCTACATAGTTTCTGGAGCAATCCTAGCCACAACATAATTTCAATCAAAGTGGGATATTTAACATCTAGCCTTAAGAGACATATCCGTATGAATGGGGCCAAGTTAATCATGACTGTCTTCAACTGTCACAAAAGTAGTAATGTCACAAAAACAAAATAATTCATACAAACATTGCCAAAACTCTTTCCTGCAAAGCATTTAAATGTACGTTAAGATTGAAGTGTGCCAAATTTAAAGCGTGGTGGAAGATGTCCAGTGATGTGATTTTACTGGGTTCTCAGACCCTCCCCAATAACTAAGCAACTTTGAAATGTATGTGTTTTGTCTGATAGTTCTGTTCTAAGTATATCCAGCTACAGGCATCCATTTCAAGTGTTTCTACATTTGTATAAAATATAAGTGAAAGACTATGTATGGGAAACTAAGGCTGATTTTAAAAGTCCATGCATATGAAGGTTTTATATTTTTTGGCTTTGTTTTAGATGGGAAGAAAACTAGTGTTCCGCTCACAGCCTCCAGTGACTAAGCACGAAGCAGAACAAACTACAGATGCAACTACAAGAAGTGAAGATGATTACTACTTTACTTGAGGTTTTTTTTTTTTGTAAAATGTATTTTTGTACTAGTTATAGTTTTGCTCCTAGTTTACTCCAACTGAGTCATATAAAGTAAATGGTGATCCCATTTGCTTTAAAATATTTGTATTAAGGTTAAATAATCCCAGTTTTTATATTTGTGGTTCATCTTTCATATTGACTGTTTCTTTCAGCCATATGTATTTTTCTGCCTCCCAAAATGTAATGTTACAAAACATGAATTTTTTTCAAAAGCTACAACTGAATATACATATTTTACGCATTAAAAAACACAAGATTTCCCAATATTATTCTCTCATTTCTCCATCTTCTTCTTCTTCTTCTACACCCCTTATATATAGGACATTGTTGCACCTGGCAATAAAGAGATATGTTATTTTTGCTGCAATTCACATGAATTAAAAAGACTGTTTTCTATAGCTAGTTTTCATTCAAACAATTTTGATTCTGTATTTGGTGTTGTGTTTAATATTAAAACTGCTTTTTATTGAATTTGTGTCATTATTTTAATATATTTCTCTATATCTGTCAAATACACTAAAGAAACTTTATAAAGCTTTATAAAGAATGAAATTGTGAAACATGCAAACTGACTCGTGCAATAGATCTTTCTGCTATTTTGCTTTCCCAGACCTACGCCGTCCATTTTCATTTGTCATTAAAATTTGGGGGGATGGGGGATGTTGTCGAGGTGCAAAGGAAATTCAGGGGAGAGGAAGAAAGTTTCTTTTGATTGTTCAAGGAGAATCATGTAACTAAATTGTATTTAGTAACTTACCAGAAGATTTTAAATGAAAACTTTATTATAGCACTAAGATATTTGATTAATGCACTTTTCCCGATATAGGTAGTTGTCAACTGATGTCCACAATTGAGTTCAAAAGTTTTATTTTTAATCAAGACACTTGTTAAGTGAGTTTTGCTCCATTTTACAACCTTTACTACCACAGTTAAGTGAATCACTGCAGTTGTTAGGTTAGTAACACAATTCTTAAGTGAATTTGGTTTCCCCATTGACTTTGTTCGTCAGAAGGTTGCAAACGGTGATCACATGATCCTGGGACACTACAATCATCTCACTTTTGTGTATGTGACAATGGAGGATGCTGTAACTAAGTGTGAAAAATTGTTATAACTCACTTTTTTCAGTGCCACTGTAACTTCGAATGGTCCCTAAACAAATGGTTGTAAGTCAAGGACTACTTGCACCAAGTACTACACAGGTAGTCCTCAGGTTATGATGGCAATAGGGACTGGAATTTCTGTCACTAAGCAATGTGGCTGTAAAGCACACCATTACATGATGTTATCACTTACAAACAGCATTTCCAACATTCCTGGTTGCCACTGTCAATATCAGGACCGTGTAGGTTATTAAGTGAGGACCTCACCTGATTGCAATGTGGGAAGAGAGAGACATCCCAGGCAAACAGACCAATGGGTGAAAGTTGCAGGTGAAAGCTTTGGGTAGGCAGATGCTATAGAGTGCAGGCAGATGGGTGCAGGCAAGAATGCGGGTGGGTGAGAAGTGTGCTATGGAATACAGATCAAAAAGCAGCAAGAGTAGGAGTGACAATCTCCTGTTGCAAAGAGTGATCTCATGACCATTAGATGCTGCAACCATCATAACTGCAAGTCGGTCATCAAGTTTCCAAATTGTAATTACGTGACTCTGCGGATGCTATGATGCCTCTATTTCACAGAGCAACCTTAAATCCCCCTCATTCAGCTACATCATAACTGAACAATTGCTGAATCAGTGGTCATAACCTGACCTGCAATTGATAAGGGTTATTTATTAGATGTATAAAATGTATCCAAGAGTTTAAGGCATATCACATGGAGGGCTCCTCTCATTTGATTTTCATAATGATTTGGCAAGATAGATGCAATGTATATCTGGCAAGGTAGCAATTGGCCCAATACTTTCTAATAAATTTCCTGGTGTTAATTTTAACTTGTGTGTCTCTGTCTTCATCCAGCACTTCAATCACTTTTCCACAATACTTAATTTTAAGCCACATGCAGACATTACCTTATCAGAACTTCACCAAGATGTCCCGACAATGCACCATCAATATATTCTTCAGTATTGGCAAGCTTTACAAACAGAAATGAGTATTACTGGATAGGAGAGTTACATGTATTCCTTAGAGAACATTTTCTACAATCCACACTTAAAATTTAATAGAAGTTCCAATATTTAATAGTCTAAATTGGTGGTTCTCAAAGAATGAACTGATTTCTGAGATCTTATAAGGAATCTATTATATGCATGGTATATATATATACCATGCATATAATATATATGTATATATATGACACATATGGTGATCAAGAGATACTTCAGTGGTATCAGGGGGCAGGGAGAGGGGAAAAATAGGCTGCCTTAATAGATGAAGTGGAAGGAAGCACATCAGTCGATTTCAAAGCTCCTCCTGATCAGTGCTGACATTTCTCCCCTTCCCTATATGTGATATATGTTATCTATTCTTGCTGCTGAGACACTCCTAGCATCAGGCCTGGCTACGATCCACATAAACTTCCCATAGTCTCATGTAACAACAGCAATGCTATTGTATAGGTGCTTCCAGACTTACCCTGCGAATTGATGAAGCTCCTGCCTTCTGCCAACTCCCTTTTATACTTCCCTTTTCCCATAAATTTTGACGCCCACCAGCTTTAATAATGAGGTCTGTGCTAAAAGGCTTGTCTCTGTCCCCTCTCCTCACTAGAAAGGTTATAACGCAGAGGCTCCCAACAGAAATAGAGGACGTAGTCCTGGTCCATGCTTGCAGTCCCACTCAGCCAATAGCATCCCCAAATGCAAAGATCCCTTCCTTGGTATCCATCACTGAACACATCCTCAAGTGGGGAGTCACTGCAGAATAGGGAGAGTGTGCTGGGTTCTCTAAGCCAACACAAAGAACTTTTTCAGCCAAAAAAGAAAATAAGTTAGTTTTCTAATTTTTTAAACTTTCTTTAACCTTTTCTGATCAAGTGTGTATATATAGAGATTTAATTGGTCACTGGTCTAAGACTCTAATAATAAATTGTTGTTGAGAGATTTAATTCATATGATTTAATTCACAGGGTTTTTCCCCCCATTTTTATCTATTTCAGTCAATAGATAGATAAGGTAAAGGTTTCCTATGGCCAATCAGGTCTAAGGGGTGATGCTTATTTCCATTTTTGGCCAAGGGAGCCAACATTGTCTGAAGAGCATGGTCATGTGGCTAGTATGACTGATGGATATACAAAGTAGAATTACTATCATATAAGGAATGCAAACTTTTTTTGTTACGAAGGTTTTCAAAGCAAAGGTAATCACTGTCCTGAATTTAATATACACATAATGAAATGTGAATTCATTATTTAAGAAAACTTTGTTGTATCACCTAACAATATTTGTGTGCATACAATTCTATGTAGGCTGGTGAGCACCAGGAAGAAAGACTATCACAGCAGCATGTTTATTTTCCGCTCTGGCCATAAAAGAAGAGTCCCCTTGTCTATCATGTAAATACAATAGACTGGCGACCTTGGAACAGATAAGTCCGTTCTTCCTTTAGCAGCCAGCTAACTGAAGTTTTAGTAAAGTAAGAATTCAATTTATATTTCAATGCTATCAACAAAGGAAACCTCCCCTCTTCCAAATCATAATTCATCATGAGTTTATAAGGACGTTTGTGGATGTTATAATAAAAATACTTTGTTAGCAATAAGACTGTACAGTTGAACACTGTAAAAATATAAACAAAGCATAAATTCTTTATTGAACCTTGTTCAATAAAATATAGAAATTAACCTGATTGCTCAACTTAGTAATTGGTCTTTGCATTTGTTTTTTTTATGCATTTATATAATTCAATGCTATATTTGCATTGCATTAGGCCTCGATTTATTTGCTCAAAACTAATCCCTTACTATGCTTAGGTATAGCACAGAACTAGCATCTACATTTTCACCAGTTGGATAACATGAATATTTTCTTGACTTACCTGCATATTCATGTAGCCATCAACTGATACAAGATAGCCCTTGTATTCCATCCCCCACTTCAATTTCACCATTACTGGCTTCCCAGTTAGCCCATTTAGAAATGGCTTTGGATTGAGAGGCAAACTCTGCATAGACAACAAAATAAAAACACTCACACACGTACACACTGTTAGACCAAACTCTTATCCTGATTAGAGTTTGATTGTTGAGATTTATCAATTACAAGTTTAAGAAAAAGATTATAGCATTTCAAAAAAACTGTTGACAAAATAAACCTTTAATTCTATAAATCCCATATAAGCAACCTGTATTCTTATGACACCATAACTTAACCTATTGGTCCCATGATTTGGGATATTTTCCAGAGATGTGTTTAGGATTATGGAAATTACAGTGCAACCATTCTGAAAGCAGCCAAATCTGTGATGGGTATTTAAAAAATATCTACCGGTAATTCTCTTTTAAAGTTGTTAAAAATCATGAGCTTAATTACATGTTGCATTACCTTAGTAACACCTGGAGTCAACTTTACAAATATGTGTTGTTTTCTCTACCTTCATACTTCAGCATCATAGTACCATCCAGACCACGAAAATTATTAACTGGCCTTATTTTACTGGCTTTTAAGCTTTAACTAAACAAGCCCCAAACAAGAACCATACCCAGTATTCAAGCCATATAGTTATCAGAAGGCATCCTAATATTAATGCTAGGAATCTTAGTTTTAATCACCCAGGAGGGATATGCTGTGGTCCCAACTCCAAAGGAGTTCCATGTGATGGGACCCAGGCAACATGCCTTTTCTGCTGTGGCCTTGGGAAAAGCATGTCATTGCCTTCTCCGCAAATGAGGTTAGTCCAGGCATAATTTCTCCATCAACCTCAAGGATTTCACACAAGGTTGTGGTATGGTTCCAGTGACTGTTGTTCTCCCAAAATCTTTATTCTAATTATGTTCGATTGCTTTGAGACTGTTATTGTTTGTGCAGAATTATGCCCAGAATTATGTTTTCATGAGGTGGGTGGCTATATAAATACGCTAAATAAATAAATAAAATGTAGGCATGCGTGTTTCCGCGTGGTGTAAATAAAAGTTGCAAGCAATGTTCATATATCCCATTCTTCCCGCCACCTCCACCAGATGCACAGACACACACCCCACATACAAAACTAGGAATCGGCAAAGACCAGGATAGCCCATTCTAGCTCAATAGTGCACAATAGTCTTTCCCCGCCTGGTGGGTCCATTCAGCTAGGAGTGATAAGAACTCTACCCCAACGCCTCTCTTGGGATAAACGCCTGCGAAGTCAGGGGAAAGGAGAGTGGGGAGGTAACCCGCAGCAACCTGCCAATACTGCAGCCAAGAGCCGCTTTCGAAACCGCGCTCCCAGATGCATCACCCGGGACCCAGGACCTTCCGATCGCGCTGTCTGCCCTCCTTTACTCACCATAGCAACCCGGCCAGGCGAGGGGCGGCTGCGACTGTAAAAATTATTCGGGGGCAACACGTGCGCCCGCCAAACTTGCAAAAGAAAAGGCCAGGAAATTACGTCACACGCCGTCTCTTTCCTCGAGCAAAGCTTTCCTGTTGACCTTTCACCTGAACGGAATAATACTCCCCGTCCTGTTGATAGACTTACACATTTTCCTATCTCTATGATCCAGGCGAAGGCGGGAAGCAAAGGCACTTTTCGATAGGCGGCTTTTCAGAGACAAGGCGGATGGGCGGGGCTAGGGAAGTTGAGTTTGATTGGAGCCGGAGTGATAGTAAAGAGCGGCGGGCTGGTTGTGCGCGCGCAGTGCCTCATAGGCGATGCACTTCATAATGGAATTCAGTTGTTCGGGTTCGCACAGCGGGCTGAACTATTAGCATACACGAACCTCATTGGGCTTAGCGTATCAACACAGCCGCAGTGCGGATGCCTTTAATGAGTGCCGTTGGCTGTTACTTGTTGCTGAGTACAGTGAGGGTCCTCCAGTCTTTTGTCATCCATTGCAAAAAAACGGGCGATGCCCATTAGTGAAAGTAAAAAGTCTGTTCTATTTTAGGCTGAAGCCAAGTGCAGTTGGCAGCTACAATGGCGCATAACTTTCTCACCGAACGTATTGGAATATTTTTGTTAAAAAACTCCTAGCTTTCCTCCATAGACTCAGTTGCAGGAAATTTATTTATTTAGTTTGTCAAACATGTACGAGATAACAAGTATCCGTATAATCATGGACAAGAACACAGGAAATGAGTACGAATAAATGGGGACAGTAGGCCAGGGATGGTAGGCACGCTGGTGCGCTTATATATGCCCTCCTACAAACCTTACGAATGGGGTGAAGTCCATGGTAAACAGTTTAAGATTAAAGTTATGGGGGTTATTACTCGGAAATGTAATTGCTCTAATGCTAACCACTGTGCACCTGTTTATAAGACCATCGTTCAGAAGTATTTACTAATTATTAACGGTGTAGTGCAGTGTTTCTCAACGTTGGCCACTTGAAGATGTCTGGATTTCAACTCCCAGAATTCCCCAGCCAGCAAATGCTGGGTGGGGAATTCTGGGAGTTGAAGTCCAGACATCTTCAAGTAGCCAAGGTTGAGAAACACTGGTGTAAATCATTGGGGCATGTTTGCTTCGTAATTTTGCTTCGTAATTTTCCATGCATCCTGGTCACCATGGCAGAAAGATCTTCTTCACTGGGTTGTAGAAGAAACGTCCTTCCAACACCACCTCTTATCTCAGTGCCAACCTTCTGAGGGAACTGGAACAGGTTTACATATTCCGGCATAAAAGTGTTGTTTTTTCCCCCATCCCATCACAATTTACCACATTGCTGGGATATTTTGTCATCACAACCCAACACTTTTTGTCATGTTTGGTGGACATGAAATAAAGCCAACCATTTTTTGATATATATTTATTATTTCAGAAGATTTTAAAAGACATGAAACCAGAGCTTTTCTTGGGAGACTAATGGATAGACAGTTTGAAAAAATATAAATGTCGTTTTTATACAGTATATAAGTTCAAAAGTGAAAAGGTTCAACATCATCCACAATAGAGGAATAGTTGATGAAGATAGTGAAACTTGTAGAAATTGTTAGACTTATTCAGAGCAAAGACAATATCGTTATTGCTGACTGGAAACATTACAGACTTTTTTGCATGAAACAGAAAAAAATGAATTGATGAATTGTGATAGGAAATCTTTGCATCTATTGCTGCGAGCTTGCACAGTGGAGACACTCATCTGTAAAGCTTATATATCTTAGCTTACATTTTACTGTCAAGAATAAATATTGTGCTGAATTATTTCTACTGGAAACACCCATGTATTATTGCTATTGTTTGTGTGGGTATATGTATAAATATATCTTTGCCTTGCTGCTGTGAGAAACAGAGTCACCAGTCAGAAATTTGACAGAATCATAAAGTGAAGCAGCAAGCAGTTTATTGCAAGAGTGGATGGTTAACAAGTAGGAAAACTAAGGAATACATTTCTTCAACTTTTTATTCCCTCTACCCAAACCACAAATCCCTCCCTGCAGTCCTCTTTGACAAAGACCATAAGGTTGCAATCTTCCCCAAACACCTGTTTCTCCATGAATTTCCCCATGCTTAATCTGTTTCCCCACCTTTTGCACAGATCCCTTTTTTCTATACTACCTTTTGTCCCTTTTTTATTTCTTAACCTACATTTTTTGTTTCCTTACAATCTTTGCTGCATAAGCATAATTGAGGCAAGCAATTAATTAATTTCTCTACTATATTACTAGACTGTGTGGTTAAAACTGTTAACTAATCTGCTTGACTAAGCTTACTCACTTATCGGCATAACAGTTTCTTCCTGTTTTCCAGTCTTGAACTTTTTACCTTTAATGTCCCAATGTCCTACTGAAATTTTATACCCACGGTTCTTAAAAATGTCTGTCTTTGCAAAAACAACATTATCTCCATCAGTTTCTTACATTGCTGTAGTTTAAAGGTTAAGCAATATATGGTGCATTATTATTAATTTGCAACAGATTGAATTTCTGGAAAAGTAGACTTGTTGTGATACATTAGATCCATGACAACATGCAGTACAGAATGTGTCTAAAGTGTCTAAAGATTATAGGTTACAATGAATCACTGATCTCTTCCATCAAGTAGAACCAAAAGCAAAAGTCCCAAGGTTATACAGATGGAATGTTGATATGTATAAACGTGTAGAAAGAAAATTCCGGTCCGCTTCCAAGCCAGGAGTAGGGCATTGGAAATAAAATGGAGGCTGACTGCAAGAAAATAAAGTTTATTTGGTTTCCAGAAACTTCAGTGACAAGCAGCAATGTTTCTACAGTAGCTGACCAAATGGTTAAATGAGTGGATGGATCTTTATAGGGTTATGATTGAGATGCTCCAGGGGGTTCTGCAATGTAATGAGCCTTGTACCTTTCGCTACTCTAATGGTGGTGGGTTAATCTTATTATGTCCTAAAGGTCATGTCCTGTCCTTAGAATTTGGGTGGGGGAATGTAGATTTTAGTCCCATCAGCTTCAACTTCTGTGCATTTTGTTTATGAATAGATTGGCCCAATTTTCCTGAATGGATACAAAATCTCCATTCCAAAAGACTTCTGCTTGAGGCTGTTTTCCTATGCAGGAAGACTGGGGCTGCTTTCTGCCTTTAAGAACCTGTTTCTCCATTTCTCCTTTGGGGAAATTTGGGATATTCTATCCTGCCTCTTTTAATATTAAGAATAAAGAATATTTTAATCTGGGGAGGAGAAAGGGCTTCCTATAAGAGCATGCATACATATTGTAGAAACCCCAGATATACATATAACTGATAAGGATACAAAATAATAAGAACTGAGGCATGGGTACCATTCAATGAAGACACTACAATAACATTCATGGAAATATAACAGAGTAGTTTTGATATACAAAAGTGTTAAGATATTTTAACAAGCAAAGAATCAGAAGAAGTTTAGTAGCACCTTTTCTAGCTAATGAATCATATTTAAAAACTTAAGCTTTCATGATCACTTCATTTTATGCCATAGGGTGGCTAGACTGAGGTAGGATTTTAATTGAGGTGAAATGTATAAAAGGAGGGGAAGACAGAAATCAAAGTTGTTAGATATTCCCCCCCCCCCCCGCTGACAGACTGACAGAGATTTCCAGCAAGGTCCTCTGTTCCAGCAGAAACAGGTTGAATCCCATTGGTCAAGAGGTCTGACAGATTCCTTAGTATCGCCCCTAGACTGTTCCAAAGCATGGAATGACCTATTTCGACAACATCTTGGTATCAGCTGCAAATGAAGTGCAACTTTAAAATGTGTACAAGCAGTTTTGACCAGAATTAGAGACAAGGGTCTCCGCCTCAAAAAGGAAAAAATGTCAAATTAATGTACCAAAAGTAGAGTTCCTTGGGTACCTGATCGATGGGTCTGGGATCCACCCGACCTCACAAAAAATTAAAGCTATTGAGGACGTCCCACACCTCACAACCAGACCGAACTGCAGGCATTCCTCGGGCTCCTTAATTTCTACAGCATCTTTCTCAAACAGAAAGCCACCATTGCTGAACCTTTACATCGCCTCCTAGCCAAGAACGCGAAAGGGTCCTGGGGCAAAGCCGAAACTGCCGCATTTAACGCAGTAAAATGACTTCTGTCAGCGGATTCCTTCCTTGTACAATACAGCCAGACCTTGCCATTAGTGTTGACATGTGCCGCCTCCCCATTTGGTGTTGGTGCTGTCCTCAGCCACCGCATGCCCAATGGAACTGAATCCCCCATCACATTTTATTCAAGGACATTGTCTGCTGCAGAGCGGAACTACAGCCAATTGGACCACTTTGGCTGCAATGGCCAGAGTGAAAAGGTTCCATGAGTACCTCTATGGCCGGGATTTTGAACTGATCACAGATCATAAACCTTTGTTGGGCTTACTGGCTGGGGATCGTCCCGCCCCAGTATCATTATCCCCCCAAATGACCAGGTAGATTATTTTTCTGGCTGCATATTCCTACCGCCTGATTCACTGACCCGGCTCCACCTTAGGGCACGCGGATGCCTTGAGCCGCTGCCCCTTGCCCAAAGTCCTTTCCAACCCCACTCCCGAAACAATGGTCCTCCTCATTGACTGCCTGGAAAATGGACCCACCTCCTCTAGTGATGTTGTTTGTCATTCTGCAAAGGACACCCAAATAAAGCAAATTTTGAACTGGGGGTGGAGGGGGTGGCCCAAGGAGCCTGTCGGGGTTGAATTCAAAATGTATTTTGCCAAATGTGATGAATTATCAGTTATTAACGGGTGTTTGTTGTCGGGAGACTGAGTAATTATTCCCAACAAACTGTGCATTGCAGTACTGCAAGCATTACATGTAGGGCATCCTGGAATAGTCAGGATGAAGTCCTTGGCAAGGAGTTACATATGGTGGCCTAACATGGACAGGGAAATCGAGGAATGGGTGGCCACATGCACACCCTGCCAGGAATCCACACGCCCCCCCCCCAGAAGCACTCGCTAAAGAGTGGGAGCGACCACAGGCACCATGGTCCAGGGTACACATTGATTTTGCAGGACCAGTACATGGCCAAACATTCCTTATAGTGGTGGACGCTTACTGAAAATGGTTACAGGTAGTCCTAATGACATCAACCACAGCTGAAGCAGTAATCAAAGTTCTACAGAAACTTTTCTCCACACAC